AATTTAGCATTTTTTGTTGCCGGACAACCTGAGGCAATGTAGACGTATATTGCTGCTGGCTTCGACGGGCGTATAATATAAATATTGGGGGCGCAATACATCATCATGTCGTGACACCCTCTAACTTTGCGAGACGCGTCCCCTACCTTTTGAAAGTAGACAATTTCCCTCATTAATCGTATGCAGCGAGCAGGTTTTCCGGAAGCAAATAATTGCGAAATTAGCCCCGCTCCTTCGATGCGGTCCAGAGGCTTTCTCGACGAAAGGCAGCCAAGATGAAAAGCAAATGCACCGACCGGCGTGGGTGGCTCAATCTTGAAACTAATCGAACACAACTAAACCCAAGAAAAGCAGCTATCGAACCTTCCCCTTCACTTGGCTGCAACATTGGTGTTCCCTTCAGTGAAACACCTCGTCTGTCGTCCTCAGTCGACTGGTTTACAACCCTATAAAGAAGCCACCTATCACTTATCAAATAGTTGTCGCTTTAAATGTGATTCGAGACAGACAAAAAATCAAAACGTTTTTGCGTGATTCCTCTCCATCCAAGAAATCGAAAGCACGCGACCGTGTGTTGTGGAGTAAACGGGCTTTCAAACACTTGATGGAAGGAAACAATCTTCTGAGGCTTCATCACACTAATGAACACTCAGTAAAACGTAAGAAATATTCGAACCTTCGTCAAATTACATTGTTCGCTACCGCGCCGACAACACGTGTCCGCGAAAGCCGGCAGAGATGCCGAGAGGCGCAAAGCGACCTGTTCCGGCTGGTTCCCAGTTTCCCCGCTTGGTGCCGTCCGTTTCGCTGGAATCGGAAATATCTATAAGGGCTGACCAGTTTACTTGATATGGTGTTATTGGATACAGAACCTGTATCCAAAATGGATTCCCAGTAATCATACAATACCGGGCCTGTATTTATACGGGGCCTGCATGCGTAAAGGAGCTGTATGCCTACAGGTTTTTCTCCATGCATACCACTCGCCTGTTCAAAGGAGAGCATAAAGCTACTTAAACTGAACCGCTTAAAAAGGTAATGTAGAAACGACAGAGATAAGAAGGAGCCCATTAACAATAAAATATGCAACGAAAGTTCACTTTTAATATTTTTAATTGATATATTATATCGGTATACCAGACCACATTTTACTTAAGACTTGTCTCCTTTGTGTTTGTCAAGGCGCAAAATCTGAAAATAGAGCCACATTTTCCTTGCCACGAGCCTTGGTATGCTGGAAGGCATCAAAGCAATTAATCAAATTGAGAAGTTTAAAACCTGTAATGAAGATCTTGTCTTTCCAGAACGTCTAAACCTGTTTCTTTTTTTTTTTTTAATTCGTGTATGGGTGCTTATTTGGCTCTAAAGTTGAAAAGGGTTTTTACACTTTTGCACTTCAATCCAATCCCCTCGATCAATCGTTATAAAGAAATCCTAATTATACTCAGTTCATCCTTAAGCTGAGACTGCAGCTAATGCCACAAGCACGATGTGGCTGCTTTAAAGCGTTCTACCGCAGACCGAGCACTGCCTCTAGAAATTCACGTCTCAAATCCAGGAACGCGGGCTAGCTCGCGCTTGCAGCTATGGATGCATTCTCAGCTTAGAGGGTGAATTCATGGCCACAGCAAAGGGGCGCAGAAATATTGGCGCAAATTTCGACGCACGTGACTTTTTTTGTTTCAAAACCTCGATCGTCCGGTCAGGAAAGCCGAACGGCCGATAACTGAGATTATACCTTAAATTCAACGACAAAAAGCTTAATGTGCACATGAACGACAAACGACAAAAAGCTTTATTAAAAGTGCACATGAAGAACACGATAAACTTCTACACACGTACCTACTCTAGACATTTATAAATGGAACATACTAACACGAGGTTACCTCTTACGACGTCGACATCCGGCTTCTTGTCGTAGCCCTCTGGTGGTAAAACTTGTTCGGTCGGCCTAGCAAATTTAAAAACCAAAAATAGCAGATCGAGGATTCAAATTCATTAGTGTTAAAACATATCTTCGTCGGAATAATATACAAACGTCCTTGTATTCTCCCAAGACTTAATGTATCTAGATTTACTGAAATACAAATATCTGTGCGCCTAAATAAATTTTGCATTTCGGCGCCGTCTAGAAACCCTGGGAAATCGAAACTTCCACCAGGGGGAAGAAGCGGGGGGAAAGGGGGGGGGGGGTATGCTTTTAGTTTTGTTTTTTTGCCCGACCCTCAAAGGCTATCCTGGTGATATCACGCACCGCCTGGTGATAGTTAAAAAATTCCGGAGGATGAGCGAACTGGGCACATTGATACTTTACACCCCCATGTTGTTGTAAAAAAAGCTACCTCCTAGCTCCGGTCTAAAAACATGCTTTTCGTGTAAGACTTGTCAAATCATGAGGCGCTGGAGAGAAATAGCCTTCTGCTTTCAGTCCTTATTTTGAACTCCTTTTGTTCGCATTTCGCCCATTGAAAACCTTGCTGGAAGGCCTTTAGCAAGCACCTCGTATCGCAGCGCCGCAGTATTCTTCCGCAGCACAAAGGCCGTCTGCTTTCGTCGCCGTCACCATGTCAACGAATGCCTCGGAACGTCGTCTGCCAGCAAAAGTTTAATAGTTTTGTAATGAGCAGCCTCACACCGTCACCGCAACGCGGTGTCAACACAGGTGGGGTGGTCTAACACGCTACCCAGTGATACACGCGCCATCCAAAAAGGCCACTCGGCGTTCGTTGCCATGGTGACGGCGATGAAAGCAGGCGGCGTTATGCTGGGGAAGAAAACTGCGGCGCAGCGATAGGAGGCGCGTGCTGAGGCGCTTCTTGCATGCTTTTCAATGGGCGGAACGCGAACAAAAAGAGTTCAAAATAAGGACTTAACGCAGAAGGCTGGTTTTCTCCAGGGCCTCATAATTTGACGAGCCTTACACACAAACCGTGTTTTTTTTGGACATCCCGCGCCTTCTAGTTTTTTTTTTTTTTATTTGTACCATGGGCCTAATGTATCAAACTGATCCAAATTCGGCAAGGAAACTTTTTATTCTTAATTTCTAGGCTAGGTGGCGCAAGCTAAAGCCTGATATAAAGGGTACCGCCGTTAGCATACATCCATTCATTCTTTTACTCATCCATCCACCTTCACTGCGTCGCTTTGTTAGAGGTTACAGCTGTAGATATGTTAGTTTTGTTTACCTTACACACTTTGAAACTTTTAAGGGCCCTTACAAACCGTCATTGAATGCGAGATACCCGCAGACGGAATGCCAAGTGAGATTTCCAAATTCAATATAGGTATACCTGTGTGGCATATCGGCATGCCGGTACAGCCCAGCAGCATGTGATAATAGCCCACCGGTACGTGGTTATATGCCACCGGACGTGGGTATAGGCCACAGGTACGCGATAATTGTATCAGTACGAGGTTACCGGACGCTTATGTGTGTGGTTTTTCTTTACCCCTATCCTTTTACCGGCGTATCCGTATTCCCTTATAGGCAAGCAGCAAACACATGCCGCCGGCCTGTGTCCGATACCGGGTGATCCGTACCCATGTACCGGGAACCGGTATATGTATGAGGTGACCGCTACGGTTACACCGGTGACAAGTATAAACCCGTATAGTCTAATATAAAGTATTACATATGTCTTCAGTAGGGCTCGCTGGAAAAAGAAAACTGGCGGAAGCGAATCGCTGCACTTTATAATGCGGAGAAGTGTCGCTTCGCGCGTTTTTGAAGTGTCCTGAATTCCCTTTACAATGACTGCCAGAGAAATTCTTAGAGTAGTCAACACATGCATAATTATAACTACATCAGTCATAGTTTCACGAACGGAAGTGGTCGAGGAGAAACAAGAGCTTTGTGTGCAATTCAAATCGCATTGTTCACGGTATGTCTCGAAATGTGATCACAAGTATTTCACCTCTCTAGGAGACTGATCAGCTTTTCTTTAACAATTATAAGGAGGTGTTTTCATCACTAAGAAACGTTACTACACCATTTTAATTTATATTAATTAGCTGCAAAAAGCAATTTAGATACTCCGTTTTTGTTTTTTGTGCTTTGTGCAAAAACGGAAAAGGCAAAGCTCAATCAATGCTTTTATTACGGCCGATCGATTTTCATGTTTCGCCTCGGGTCAGTCTCTGTTCTTTTTCACAGAAATTAAGAATGCTTGTAAATATCTACATCAAGATGCATTTCATATACTCGATATATTTTTATTATCTTCAACTACATATGAGGGAATGGTTGATATCTCTCTGAGTATGCCAAGGCATGTGTCACATCTGTTTTATTTTTTTTACCTTGTGTTTTTTGTTTGAGTATTATTACTTGGATACCTGTTTGATGTCAGTGTACAATACACCACACAGGAGATCAATAAGGTTGTTCAAAGTCAAAAGCAAAATAAAGCGCGTTATCATTATCGTAGCTGTCATTTCCACTCCGCTCGTTTATTTCCTTATTTGATATCTTAATCTCATGTGGCACTAACTCTATTATTTCCAAACATCTGTTGCAGAATACGCTTTTGTTTGTTCCGCCAACGGCGAGACTTCCCGCGTCCAGACTAATACACCGCCGCCTTCATCTTTCATCGCATCATTTTTCATCACACCTCCTTTCCTGCGTTCATCAAACTAAGCAAATCTTTGTTTTCGCGCTTCTCTTAGGCGCGAGTCAACAATCCAGTTTTCCGACGAGGACACATCGTAACCACCAAATCAAACACAACGTCCCATGTCGAGCCCTCCCTTCCCTCCTAACCCACCGAGAACCTTCTGGCGTCACCTACAACGCCCTTCCGTCGTTTTCCCGGCATTTTCTTTTGTTGTTTTCTGCCGGAGCGTGATATATAGCGTCTAGAGGTGAAGCCCTGCCTCTGACGCATCGTTTCGAAGGATAGTGGGACTCTCGCAATCCGCAGGCGGAAAACTGGCCAAAGATAAGCCGCTATTCTAGCGGAAACGGCGTCACCCGTCTAGTAACCGCTTATCAGCGTTTCAAGCGGTGCTATTGCCTTCGGCAAGGATATGTATGTCTTCAACAAGTCGAGATCGAAACTGCAACTATGAAGGAGGCAGCGAAGACCATTCGTCCAGAATTGGCAAAGTGCGAGCATTAAGTTAACTTGTATCGGTGCCAACGTCCCAGCTTTATCAGCGTCGTCGTGAAACTGAGCAGCAGAGATAGAGGTAGGCATAAATTAGACTGAGGTAGGTAGGGCGTGGATGCCTAACTACGATGACGTCACTTCGGAGTGCCAGAGGGATGCTGGGAGGAAGGTGTCGTGATCCTGTGTGGTGTGAGTGACACCTTGCGTACTGACTTATCGCGTCCAAGCGACACATTCACCGCAAACCAGGGCACATTGTGGTTGCAAACGAAATATCACAAGAGGATGAACAGAGGTGATAACAAGTACCGCATTTGGTTATGCGTAGATAATCGTTGTTGATGTGCCTAAAGCAGGTTGTTGAGCATTGAGGTTATATTTTACTGAATTATCTGTTTGTTATTTTGTATCTTACCCATACGCTTCAAGAACGAACCAGAGTTATGCGTCAGGACTCAGGGTAAAGTTTTTTTTAGATTTGACGAAAGAGTTAAGTCGTCCCAGTAAATTTAGCTTAAAGATAAAAAATACACTTTGTTTAACCTGCCAAACATTTGTATGTTGTCTCGAAAGAATGTATGCAAGCAAGTGTGATCATCACCCACTTTCTTTTTAATTTTCGTCAGGCGTCTCATGATGAACCCCTTAAATTTCCTCTAACATAGGGGCTTTCGATAACGGATCATATTTTTTTACTTGCACTTTACTATCACGACAACCAAGCGGGCCATTGCAACTGAAGCCACGACAGAGAAAATCTAACTCCGTGTTAACGCAAGTCGGCGAAGTGAGAAACACGTGGCTCCTTTGAACCGATAAGACCTTGCGACGCCTTTCTATCTGAAAGATAACAGCACCCCACAAAAGATACAAGTTTACAACGAAAGCTTGTCTTGGACTATGCAGTGGCCCTATGCCAACCCCACAAAGACCAAAGAAAATTAAAATTCGTGAAAAATTTGTTTACCCAATTTACACGCTTTATTCAAACTATCCAATTGTATCTCTACTGTTGAACCAATTTCCAGAATAATAATTCAACCCATAACTTCGGATGGAAGACAAAATTTATTCCCAGAAAATAATTTGCCAGTTGGAGTTTAAAGATTTCTTCTCAAAATTCTCGGGAAAAAACCTCTAAATAACAAAATAAACGTCTTCACTGATGGCCGTCGTGGGCGGCCTCATGAGGCAATCGCACGAAGACTCATCCCGACGCCGCCTACAACCTATAGCCGTTCGGCGAAATATGGCAGTCCCCGTGGTAATTGCGCAGTGCGCCCCATAGTGACCTAGTACAATAAACACATCGCTAAGACGGGCGCCGACCCGGGGCCGCAAACCATAAAGAAAGCCGAACCCGGGCGCCACGAGCGGAGCTCCAAGGCGGTCAGAGCCGACCCAGCCGGAGTTGTAGCCATGGCCGTTGTTTGGAAGAGCCGTCAACTTCTCTTCTTCACTGCTGTTTCTCTCTGGCTCGTTTGCGGCGCGGGCGCGGCTCACCCCTCCCCAGCAGAGGAAGCGCTTGAGGATCGCATACAGGCGGGCATCGTTGGGGAGGAATGTTTGGATCGCTGCGACGCACGGGATGAATCTAACGTGACCATGTGCGCCTGCCGACCTCCTGAAGAGTGTGCCCTCAGGGGAGACTGTTGTGCGGACCGCTACTACGCCGAGCAAGAGAGGCCGAACCTGCAGTGTGTGCCGGCGTTCAACAGAGAAATCGTGGCCGTCGCGTTGTGCCCCAGCTCGTGGAAGGAGCCGAAGACTCTGCTCTTGTGCGAAGGTGTCCAGAATAAGAATTACACTTACCTTCAATATATTCCGGTGCTAAGCAGGAAATCCAAGCAAGTTTACCGCAACGTCTTTTGCGCGTCGTGCAACGGAGACACAAGCGACCTGTTACCGTGGACGCTGTCGCTCGAATGCGAATCGAAGGAAGTCACGCAGGCATTCTCCGACGGTACTGCCCAAAAAGAAGCAATTATGACCTACTCCACTAACTCCAGGTTTCTTTTTGTGAGCTGGAAAAACCACTCAACTCGATGTCGCATCCTGGCTCATGAACTCTTGCCACAAAATTATTCCGACGTGCTCGGTCTCACCCCTTGTGTGATCCAGCCCATTGTTTGGACGTGTCCCGCAAGCTTCGACGACCCCGTGATCAGGTCCAAGTGTCACAGCTACACCAGTCTGATCGAACACTCGAAGACTCAACTGAGGTATCGAAACTTTCACTGTGCCCTATGCAACGGCCGCAAACCGAAAGACCTCCGCTGTGGTTTCTTGGAGCCGCGAGGATCGGAGGTCAAGATACACGGTTACATGTCCTACGCCATCGTGATGGATTTCAGCAACTGGATGGGCGCAGGGGACAGCGACGACAGGCGCGAGATGGCGTCCGCGCCTCGATTCAACCGCTGTGGTCGCGAACAAGTTTTCGACCCGCTGACACTCACCTGCCATCACTCGAGCTGCCCACCGGACGTGTGCCACACGAAGGACTGCGAATGGACCCGTTTCTCGAGAGACGATATTGTTCCCTCTGACCATGGGAAGTTCTTCAGGATCCCTAAGATGGAGCTAACCCTCGACATCTCCGATATGCAAGGAGACAAACTTTCCGAGGACCACGTCTTGGTGTGCCTTCCCCTTCCGAGGATGAGCGCCCTTCGGCCTACTGCTGGCATTCAGGACGTGCTCTCGACCGTCGTGCTCCTCATCTCAGTGATCTGCCTTGTCCTTCATGTCGCGGCGTATGCCCTAGCACCCAAGCTTCGTACCGGTCCCTCGAGACTTCTCCTCTGCCTTGCGGTATCTGTGCTTGTAGCGCAGGCGAGCTTCGTCGCTGGTGGGATGCTCTTCATGCCCAATACTAAGCTATGCGCTGCCCTTGGGATCGTTTCCCACGGAGGGCACCTGGCAGCCTTCTTCTGGATGAATGCGATGGCAGTGGACATCCAGCGCACGTTCCGCGCTGGTATCAGGTGAGTGATGGGAGAACGCCCTAGTGGGGCTATATACAAAAACAAAATATGATAAATCAACCAGCACGTGCAGATGATTTACGAACTTCAGCTTGTGAGCGAAAATGTCCTGATACGGCTTGTTTTCATCAATGAAAGAAAAGTTTCCGCGTAATTATACAACTTGGTGTTATTTAGAGAGTGTTTTTAAGGATTTACATATTTCTTTTAAAAAAAGCCGTGAAAGCTGCAGGGATGCGGTTTCTGCAGTGAGTTATATTTTAAAATTAAACCAAAGACAAGGGAGGTAGAATGTAGCGAGGGGGTAGAGGTCTACTTAGAATTGGTGTTTTTTATTGAGGAAAACATACAAAATTGAGGTGACAATAAAAAGGAGGAAAATGAACTAATAAAAAGCATGAGTATCCGCCAGTAAAAAAGGGCGGGGGAGAGAAAGAGAAATACCACTAAAAAAGAGAGAGAAGTAAAAGAAGGGGTAAGCTCTAAGTTCGATGGCTGGGTTACACATTTGCATGAATCGAACTCAACCTATCCCAAACGACAGTGACATCCAGGACACCGGGACAACCGGATTCCCTTCTCTTTGGCCTAATTTTACATTGTCTTTGCATTAAATTTAACTATGACATAAATAGCCAACTAGCCCACCAAATGATTTTAATGGAGATACACTGCCAAGGGGACATAATCACCACAAGTCCGTTAATTTAAAAAAAATATTTGTTAATCAACTTTTTAGTTATAAAGAAAATTATATGGTTCTTAACAAAAAGACGCTGAACAAAAAGTCGCTGACACCCACTAAATATGTAAATTCGCGAAAGATTTGGGGCCCATGAAAGACTCATTTACGGGCTTGAATTGGCGCTCGTGCAACAGGCGCAAACCTAAACAACCACACCTTTGCCTTTAATTGCATTATAAGCATTATATTCACGCCCTTGCGGAGTTTCCGTCTGTTATCAACCGCGTTTTTGACCCGCCGGCATTGCCCGCTTCGCAAGAGTGGTAGCCTACCAAATAAGTAAATTTTACGTAGGTCCGGGTGCGTGGTTAGCGTGGGTGGGGGGACCCACGCTAACCACGCACCCAGACCTTCCTGAAATTTACTATTTGGTGGCTTTAGATGATTCTCGGCGACACTTGTGCCCGGTCGTTGAATAGTGTAATAAATTACCGTTAAAAAGTGCCTTCACTCAGAACTAATGGATTATTTTACTCGCTAGGTTACCAACTACTTTCGCGTTACGTTTTCCTTATAAACTTATCCAGAAAACAATAGAAACAAGTCTGACGCTTTAAAAAATGTGATGCAACGCTAATTCCCATTTCGCGTACGCCCGGGTTATGGTAGCCCTCTTGAAAATGAAATATTGTATTTAGGAGAAAGAATGCAGGTACACTCCGTTCAACTGTGAGCTGCCAAGGCAGCGAAAGCTGCCACCATACCAGCCATCCCGCTAGCTTACGGCCTCCGGAAACGATCCCTCAAATTGTGCAGACAAAGCTAGCGCTGCGCGTGCTCAGTAGCAGCGACTATTTCCGCTAGGAGATCAAGAAGACAACGCCGACTCGGCGTGGTTTTCTTGAGATTTGTTTTTCGCGTGTTCGTCATTCCTTGCACGTTTTTCCTAGTGCTTCTAGTGACCGGTCATACAAAAAAAAAAATCGTGTTTTCTTTACAATTATTCTCCTCTTCTCGATGTTTTTTTTTTTTCTTTTTTTGCTGATTTTTTATTGTGTACCTAAATTGCCTGCTCATATTACTCCAGTTTCTGTATTGTGTTAATATTTTTTTAATGTAACGAATAGTTAAAGTAATTCGTTCACAACATTCGTAACTAAATTACATTACAAATTACTAATGCAAGAAATTAACATGGCGATTACGGAATTACTTGAAAGAGTAACAGATTACAAGAAATCCGTTACTTGTAGCGGGTTACCTCTCAAATCTGCTTCCGGCTGTATTCTTTTTTTTTTTTTTGCATCTGTCTCTTTTCAATAGTTTAAAACCTACTGGACACATTTTAGTTAATTATCCGACTTCTGCTGACGATTAGCCCCCTCTATTAAACCCCCTGATCGTATACCTCACCTGCACAGACCGCGAAAAGCGTAACAAAACACCATGTATACAAATAAGGTAACCAAGGGTAACTAGACTAGAGCCGCGTAAGTAGAGGGTTTGGCCATTCATTGGGATGTATAGGAGGCAAATGAGGAGACGCAATTGGCCGTTCGAATGTGGCCAACCAGGAGCCGAAAATAATGCCCTGGCGATGGTCGCGAGAAACGAAATTAATAAGTGCGTCAGGGTAACTCTCGCTGGCTGAAAATATTGTGCGCGTGATCTTTTAATCACAGTCATCCGAGATCATGGTAGAAGAGCGCAACTAGCAGAACCGTCGACATAATCCGTACGCCAGGCGCCGAGGGCCGGGAATCTGCCGTCCGAGCTGTAACACTCTGTCCGAGCAAAACAGAGTTTGAGCGGCACATTTGCTTCTTACATCTTTCTGCACGATCATGATCGAAACATCATGTGCACCCTATTTTCAACCAGGAAGGGTTACTATATTTAAGTCTTACGCGCTTATTAAATTATTAAAACTGCTTCTCGCTACCACCGCTAGGAGATTCTTTTCGGCTTATGGTCGGCCAAGAGAACATGTCAAGCCCTCTTTCTGCGTCTAGTGCACGCCCTGACTCTCTCTGCCGGCGCCTCCCATTGATCAAACGTTTTCTATACACCACTCTGAACTAGACGAAACGGGACTGAGAAACGTAGATTACTTATTAAGTCAAAACCGTCGTCGACAGCTTCGAGGAGACGTGGTGAGGCAAGTGTTTATCTGTTTTAGTGTTCCAATCAATACTAGATTTCTTTTTCTTCTGGTATTCAGGTCACGTGCACGTTCCCTGAAAGTTAGACCAAATACCGCTTAATTACGACTGTGTGGGCAACCTGTATTGTGTAATCACTGCGATATCCGCTGCCAATATCGTGTACACCTAGCAAATGTTCAATATTAGCTTATCTACTAAGGCTTGATTTTTATTCTGTAATTATCAACAAAGGGTCTTGCAGACTCGATTACATTTTGTTTTATTGAAATGTCCTGTTTGTTTGCTTTTGATCTGTTTTGTTTCTCCCGGATTGTATGGGTGTAGAAACTCAGTAAAGCAGCAAATATGCATATTAAAAAAGATAGAAATAAATAAAAAAGAAATAAGAATACTCTGAGCGTTCCATCGCCACCGAGATCAGAGCGATATGGCTGGCTGGAATTCAACGTAACTTAAAAGAGCCAATGGGAATGTAAAGCAGCCTTTATGATCTGTTCACCGCTAAGCTGAGTGGGCGCTGGAAGTTACGTACTCTTTGGTTCAGTGATATGTCGGTCTTTCGCCACGTGATCATGCTCCCGTTTATAAAGGCGTGCAGAGAACCAGAACAGACGGCGAAAGGCACTCGCTTCATTGGTCCGTCGAGCGCTCACACCGCCCTCTCAGAGGTAAACACGAAGTCTGGTATGCTTTTAAATGCGATAGCATTCCGGACGAACCATACGTACTACCGTGCAAAAAAAAAAAAAAAACATTCGGCACGCATGTATTGTGTGCAGGGCTCAACGACACGAAACAAACAATCGGAGCAAGTGACCTCGCACATATGCAGTTACCGTAGCAATGCCTAGGCTATTTAAAAGTCGGAGCCATGTGCTTCGTCTCCGCTAAAGTAACACGGTCCTTAAGGAAAGCAAATGTCGTTTCTCTACCGAAGCCAAGCACTCAGCTGCTCTTTTTCCTTTGGTTCAGTACTTACTACTGTATACACTTTCTTGGAGCTGCGCATACAGGGGAAATGCGGCCAGCAAACGTGATGTGATACATTAGTTTCTGAACGGCAGATACACTTAACAGTGATATATTACGTTTATATTATATTATGTGTATATCTATAAACTAAGACAGACGCATTTGAGTTGCACTAATGCTACAAAAAGGCCTATGGCTGGTGGCGGGTGGCCGGTTGGCGGGAAGTCGGCACTTGGATCTGAAAATTACGGGAATTGGTCTTAAATTAGATAGACGAATTCCTGGACGTCCACAAAACATGTTTCAAGAAGTGTTCACAACAGTTTTTACACTTTAACGCAGAAACGTTTAGCGTACCAAGAGCGTTCAAGATGCCGGGGCATTTCATAAAAAGCTTAAAAAGCGATTTCCAAAACAAAAAAAAAATTGCTGTAGAACATTTGCGCATGGTTAAAAAGCGTGCTGATATTGCTTGCACGCCATATCAGCGGGTGGCTTTGCTGGTATGCACGTGTCTTCTACAGCCTTCATTTCATGGGAAAGATTTTTTAGGGCAAATTAATTGACACTCTAATGCTCGAACTGAGGCAGTCAGGGGCCTTGAAGTGCTAGTAAACTGTAAACTATTGTTCGAATCTCATGTCACTAACATTTGTGCTACCAGTCTTTAAGTGCTCGGGATGATTTCACGTTTTATTCAACACTTCCAGGCACTTGATACTATATTACGCTCATTTTGTGTTTTGCTTAGGCCACAACTTGTATTTGCGTCTGTTGTATGGAACCTTCTTTCATATAGCGATTGCAGAAGCTTTGAAATGGTGCAAAGGCGTCTGATACGCATAGTCTACGATAGGCATTTTAACAGGAGACTCTATTTGGAGTATACTTTTCTTGTGAAAGTTTTAAACCTCAGAACCCTATATAATTGACCGCAGGCATTGCCGGGATGTGGTGTTTTTACAGAAACTCATACAAGGTTGTTTCGATGTACCTGATCTTCTGAGCAGTACAAGCTCACGTGTGTAAGCTAAGCACACGCGACTCTGCGATACATTTATCCTGACAAGCGGATTGAAGGGTCACCAATGCATAGAATTCAAATTTTTTATAATAGCCTTATGCAGCATGATTTCTTTTCCATGCCTTATTGTACTTTAAATACCGAGTTGTGTATG